AGGCCTCAGGACAACAATGAATAAAAAGCCCTGGGTACCTGGCTCTGTAGGCAAATGTGTAGATGGAACACTGGGCAACTGGACAGGGGGTTCTTCTTCCTTGTCACCCACGCTTAACAACTCCTGGGCCAATTCCTCCTGCTCCAGCTCCTCCAGCTCTTCCAACAACTCATCCTAGATACAGGATGACAAAACTGTTAAGTCCAAGACAGGAAATGTCCAGTTCCAAAAATGGACTTCTCTCAAGGGAACATGCCTTCTGGGCAACCTGATACTTTCTCCAGTATTCCCTCAACCCATGACCGAGTCACCTCATCAATGTCATCGCCAAAACCCAGAGGCCGAGAAATAGCATCTGAGATCTGCTGGGCCACATCCTGTTGTTCTGTGATATCGGCCATCAGTTCCTCCACCTTGTCAGTGTCCCTGAGAACAAGACATACAGCCAAGAGATTAGGCGGCAACCTCTCCAGACCTTCTTACCTACATGAATGAGCCTGGTCTCACTGCGGCCGCACAATGATAAGCCCATGTCAAAAGCGGGGAAAGAGGCAAGTCTGGGCTAAGAAACAGGAAGATGTCACACTGGAGAGGACAGGCTGCACTCCTTTCCCGGATGGCTCTTTCAGAATTAGAGTTCACAAGTGCAAGGTTCTGAGTTCAATTCCCAGTACAGCCCCATAAAAAATAAGATTAGAGAAAGCAGCTTTACTATTTAGAGTGCCCCAGCCAGCAAAAGAATCTCTGTTTCAGGAAGCAAGGAGGGAAACACAGGTCTAGTCATAGGCATGATGTAAATTCACATTCAGGGAGGCTTTAAGCTCTCAAGCATAAACCAAGGCGGCCTCCCCAGTGCGAGTCCCCTCCACCACTGCCCCCCATACCCACATGTCTTGGTAGGCTTTCTTCATGCCTTGGGCTGCAAGCTCCATGGTACGCAGCACTTCTGTATTGGTGGTGGCATTCTCAATGGCCTCACGCTGAAACTCCAGGGTGGATAGCGTCCCATCGGTTTGTGCCAACTGTTGTTCCAGTCTTTTCTTGCTCCGCAAAGCCTGCAGGGCAGCTGACCCAGCCCCCAGCCTGATCTGAACATCAGAGTCCGAAGCACCTGCTTCAGCCCTGGGCCCTCTCCAGGGGCTGCTTTCCCTCATTACCTCTCTTATTCTTGGTCCCATGCTTCTTGGCTGTCTGTAGCTCCTGTTGAATCTTCTGCTCCAGAAACTCCTGTTTCTTGATCAATATCTTCTCTGTCTCCTTCAGTCTCTGTATTGCTTCCTCAGGAGTTGGTCCCTTGTCCTTCTTTCCTGAGGAGTCCAGTGGAGCAGGCCCATAGGGTGTGAGGAAAGATGGTGGTCACCAATCACCGAGAGGACAGTGTGCTAGACACTGTCTGATCGCTAATCTCCAAGTGATTCTCTGCCACAAATGTACTACCTTCATCCTCCGAACAGGAAAACGGCACAAACGTGTTAAATGTTTCGTCTAAAACCACAACTAGTAAGAGAAAGAGCAGGAATCAAAATGTGGTAATATGACTGCAAAAGCCAACATTCTTCCTGGTATTCCCAGCTGCCTTTCAGTCATTTCCAATCTTTTTTTTTGGTACTGGTGATGGAACTCAGGACACTGTGCTTGCAAGGCAAGCGCTGGCACCACTGAGCTAAATCCCTAGCCCCTTCAATCACTTTTTTTTTTTTTTAGGCCCGGAGCACTCGGCCAGCTCCTTCCCGCCGCCTGGCTCTCCCGGGCTCACCCCTCCCGAAGAGTCGGTGGAGCCCACTCATCGCGACCTCCGTTCTCCGCCTGGGCCCTCGGCTGGCGAGCCCCACACTTCCGCCTTGCTCCGGGACCGTGGCTCTCACAGCCACACAGGGTCTGGGCCAATCCCTTCTCTGGGCGCCACCTTTTAAAGCGACATCTGCAGCCGCAGAGACTCCACGCAGTCACGTGCCAGAGCCACAACCAGACCAGAAGTCGCGTTCTTAAAGGGCCCGCTTCCTTTCTACTGCCTGAAAAGATCGTCCCCACCCCCAAGGCGTCTGGGCTCCCTAAAAAGAAATGTGCTTTGGGAGGGCACCTCTGCGCGTGTTGTGAGAGAGTTCTGCAGGACCTCCGGATCTCAGCCTGGGTTAAGGGGTGTAGAAGGCAGAACTTGTGGGTCTAAATCCCACGCTCTCGTCTGGGCATGTCAGGACAACCACTCCATTCACAATAGAAAATAGAAACAATCCACACCTTGGAGAAGGTCTTTTTCTATCTCACGCAGATAAAGTTTAATAAAGTACAACTGCACCTGAGAATGCCTTCTTGATTTCCTTTCAGTTTTACGCGTTGGATGAGGCACATCCATAGGCCTAGACCTTAGGGCCCAGCTTGGGCCTTTGCAAACGTTTCTAATCCTTGAGTTAGGGTGTGAAGACTCATCCCGTTCTGGATGTGAATGCAGATAACACCTAGAAGGAAAAGAAGTCACATGGCATAAAGCTTTCAGGGTTCCCATTATTACTGTCATTTTTTTTTTTTGCTACTGGGGATCCATTTAGGACTTTGTGTTTACGAGGCAGGCGTGGTCTCATTGGGCTAAATCCCCAGGTACTGTCGCCCTTTTATGGTGTCCCCTATCATGCAGACTGTACACCCTGTACATCGCTACTCTTCCCTCCTTGGAATGCTTCTTCACCCCGCAAGTGTCTACTGTCACGGCCCATTTGCTGATGTACCCAGTTTGCTGACGTATTCCGCTTCTCATCATCAAAGAAGATCATCTGCGAGAAGGGAACTCCAGTCTTGTGCTGCAACCTGTGCAAGACACCCAGGGGTAAGGGAGCTGGCATCGGGGCTCGCCCAGCCCCTACCCTTACCCCTGCCTACCTCTCAAAGTGTGTAACCTTGCTGCCTGGATAGATTTCCCGATGAAGAAAGTACCTGACAAGCCCAAAGAGCTCCAGTAGCTGGTTGGCCCCCTCCACCTCACCTGTCCTGCAAAAGGGTGTAATGGATACAATTAGGAGTGAAGGGTGCAACACAGGTTAAGTACAAGCAGGGGAAGCCAGTTCACTCCTTTTACGGGATGTTGAGGCTCCCAATCCCTCACTGAGCTCCACTGTCTTCTGTGGGACACGGGTGGTGCTGAGCTATTGCTTAGTAAGTAAAAGGTACAGGAGAGGGTAGAATTAGGAAATATATACGAATATTTGCAAGGTTGAACTTTTTTTACTTTTATTAGTACAGGTTTGTAGTACATAAATGATTACATTCATCGTGGGGAGTTGGTACACAGAGAACAATATATCTTAATCCTTTTTCTCTTCCACACCTTTCTCTATTCTCTTTTGGTCCCTGAACCTTTTTTCTTTTTTAAATTAGGGACTGAGCATTGCTACATCCCATGCCCTTTTTATTTAGAAAGCCCTCACCCAGACCCAGGCTGATCTCAAACTTGCGATCCTCCAATCTCAGCCTCCTGAGTAGCTGGGATTTTAGGCCTGTGCCACTGTACCCAGTGTACCTCTTAAATTTCTGTACCCACGCCTGTAATTGCAAAACTTGGGAGGCTGAAGCAGCAGTATCGCCATGAGTTTGAGGCCAGCCTGAGCTACATAGCGGGTTCAAGGTCAGACTGAACTACATATATAGTGAGAACCTCTTTCAAAGAACCGGGGGAAAAAAAATACAAAAATAAAACGAAAAAACATTGTTTTTAGGGCGTTGCATAAAAAGTCCCAGAGTGCTCGCATCCTTCAGTTAATTTGCAGCAATCGTTGCCAGTCGCTCTTCTTACCGTGAAGCGGCCGCGACGGGCACCCCAAGGCTCTGCAATCTTTCCAGAACCGCAGGCACCTCGGGGTACAGTCGGATGCTCTGACCCCGCCTATCCCGTATAGATCCATCACTGGAGAGGGCGAGAGCACGCTCAGTACCGGCCAGGCCCCTCCTAGCCTCCCTGTCCTCCCTCTCTGTGCCTCACCTGCTCTGGTGGAAGGGAGGGTCTACGTGAGTGTCCACCCAGAAAGGCCAGAGCGTGTAATCTGCGGAGCAAGTAGGGGAAGTTTCGGCCTTGGGGTCGCGGGGATTGTGCTGCCTTGGGGGAGAGGCCGGGGACAGCGCCCTATGAATCTCCCAGCCCGTCCCTCACCCAGATCGAAGACTGCCAGCTTTGGGAGCCTCGCCATGACAGATTTACCAGGCGCGCGCTGAGCTGCAGCTCTGTAGCCAGACTGAGACCTGCGCACCTCTGAGGCTGCCGGGGCACCGGGGAGTAGGCCACTGAGAAATGGTTGCTAGAGCGTCGCCACGCCGGGCTGTGGCCTTCGCTGGGCGAGTGCTCACCATCGCCCCCTGCCAGTGGTCATGAAGGTCTGTAGCAAGCTTCAGAAGGGACTGCATAGGTATCCAGGTTCCCAAAGGTTTGTCCCCAGGAGTCTTGTTCTCCAGCCCACCAGCTTAGCCAGTTTCCACTAGAGAAGGCAGGAACCCGGAAGCCTTTACTCGTTTATTTTTTGTATTTTTGGGTTAAGATTAGGTTTAAGTCAAGGTCATTCTATGTAACTCAGGCTGGCCTTGGAGTCACTATGTAGCTGAAGTTAACTTAGTACTGAAGATCATCTGGCCTCAGCCTCTGGGAGTGCTCGATTTACAGCTATGCATCTCTCTCTTCCCTTCTGTCTCTTTTCTCTTCTCTCCCTCTCTTCCTGCCTATCCCTCCCTCCCTTCCTTCCTTACTTTTTTCTTTCATCCTTTCTCCCGACTCAAGATTGAACCCAGAGCCTCCTTGGTGAGCTACATTTAAAAAAAAATTTTCTGTTGAAACAATGTCTGGCTAAGTCTCCACATTTTCCAGTGTAGGCTCCATTTTAGGATCCTCTTGCCTCATTATCCCAGAGTGCTGGGATTACAGATGTGTGCCACCATGTCCATTGTAAGGAAATTTTATTCTAGCACTGTGTCATTTTATCTTACCAATTGAGAGGTAATCTCGTCACAGCTTATTACTCATTCAACCTTTCTCTACATCAGCCTCTTAACAGTGTAGACTATAAAGCCTTCCAAAATATTCCAGACATAAAGAATAAAGTATCTGCAGCCCGAGGCTGTATTGCCTTCCCACAGTCACAGTTGCTCCCTGAGCTGAGTTTGAAGTATCACTTGAGCCTAGAAGTTGATAACCTTCCTCCATAACACAAACCCTGTCTCAGAAAACAAAACAAAGAAAGCAGTGTTTGCCAACCCCTTGAAACGTTCTTCAACCAAGCACAAATGTCCACCAAGGCCAGAATGGGAGAATTTATTCAAGTTTCTACCATCCACATCAGTGGTATGCTGGCAGATGCATGCCAACCAGATTGAGGAGGGCATCTGATTCCTAGTGCTTCCCATTTCCTGTAATATTCCTATCATGGCCAATTTCAAGCCAGCAGAGCCACTTAACAACACTGCAACCAAAATAGTCACTTAACATGGAGTTGGGAAGAGGTACCAATAACTGGTTCTCAGGAGTCAGTGAGAGGTGGTTCCAGCACCATGGAGTCTGATGATCCCTCTGAGAGCCCGGGCCTTCTGCTGGCCTACTCTTCTACCTACTGTAACTGCTTAGCACTGGGCCCAGTTTGAATTCAGTCACCTTTGTGCAATAGAAGGAAGATTCCAGGAGGTTAGGAGATATTTTATTGACAACCAGGGACACAGCCATAAGAGTGGGAAGCACACAGGACTGCAAACTAAAACCCAATAGCCAGCGAAGGCCCTTTGGGCCAAGAGCACTGCATCCCGGGGTCCTCACAGTCTCCCACCAGTAGACACACAAGACTGGGCAGCCAAGAGAGAGGGCGATGGCTTGGGCGTCCCAGCCAGTGAGAGAACATATGCTTCAGTACGAGCGATAGGGTAAAGGAGGTAAAGTAGAGGGAAGACTCATCATTGCCTAAGACCACCTCCTCCTCTCAGAGCCAAGACCAGGTGGAGGACAGAGCCGCCTAGAATCTTGTAGTCAGCACTGTCTTCTCATCATTCCTATAGGGAGGAAAAAAGTAATAGAAGTATCATCTAGAGCAGGGGTACCTAGTTTTTATGGATCTCTTTGGGATGCCTGTGAACTTGGATGAGGAAAATATTAAATCTTTATTTTTTACTAATCCTAACTATAAATGTGTATTTTTATTTCCAACATGTCACAGTGTGTGACCATGATAGCACAGAGGATGAAAAATTACTCACAGTCAAAGTTCAGTTTAAACCCCAAGAGGCCCAGAGTGACTGCTTCACTGAGATTCAACAGTAGGAGAAAGTCTCCAGAAGATAGCAGTGATCTCAGAAACCCCTGGTATTTTATTTGTAGCACAAGGACTTGAGAACAGAGGTCCAGAAGAAAAAACATCTGTGCAGCACTTGTGTCAGAGGAAAGGGCAGGAACAGGATGGTCTGCTAGGCAAGTTTATCATGCAAGAGGAACACAATGGCTGGAGGAGACATCTCTGAGAGTAACTTTGTTTTTAAATTCTGCTTCTCTATTTCCTCACAGATCTGCTCTTATCTTGACCCATGCATTTCTGGAGTCCTTTGCTTTTTCTCTAGAGGTTCCACTATTTTTGCACATATTTCAGTCACTTCTCAGGCCAGCTTCTCTGTACAATTCCCCTTTTTTGTTTTATAACCCAAATTGAGCAGAGGGGAGAGGATACAGTGTAGAGGTGTGTAGGAAGGTCATTATGGCTTCTGCATGATGGTCTGTTGGAACAGCATATGGAGAGCTCTTAGGACTGCAAGAAAGAACAGAAAACACATTTTTCAGCTGGGTGTGGTGCCACATGCCTGTAATCCCAGTATTTGGGAGACTGAGGCAGGAGGATGCCATAAGTACAAGGTCTGTCTGGGCTCCACAGTGAGTTCAGGTGAAGCAGCCCGAACTACATAGTGAGACCCTATTTCAAAAAAACAAAACAAACAAACAAACAAACAAACAAACAGGGCCAGGGATTTAGCTCAGTGGTTCTGACACCTGCCTCGCAAGTGCAAGGTCCTGAGTTAGGTCCCCAGTACCAAAAACAAACAAACAAACAAACAAAAACAAGACATTTTGTTTTTGTTTTGCAAGATCCAGCAATGAGAGTTGTCCTAAACATTCTTTCAAATTTTAAGGGCTTGGATCTGGTATAAATTTAAACTCAAGAAGTCAACTTTAAGGCAACTCAAAAAATCCCAGGGACACCAGAAATCACCTTGACTAGTTCTTGCACACTGGAATTCAACATTATATTCCTTTATGTCTGTTCTAAACTTCTTACATCCTAAATAGCAGCTGTCATCTTCCTGACTGCTTTCATGGCTAAGGACTGCTGATATCCAAACAATAATATAGTGATTGTGTAAGTCATAAATGTTGTGTTGTAAAGGATCTAATCTTCCATCAGCTGGGCATGCAGATCATCAGCAGATTGTTAATCTCAGACATTGATTCCATGTACCAAAGGAAAAGAAAAGGTCTGTCCACTATATTCTATAGTGATCCAGACCATGAACATAGTATGCTCCATCTAGCTTGGGGTCACTTGTTAGCTTCCACTATTTTCCTTGTTTTAATACCCTCCCTCAACCTCTCAAACTTCAAAGACCCTATATCTCTTCCTGTATAATGCCAAAAATTGTCCCCAGTACACTTTATAAAGATTTTCACTAATACCAAGTGCAGCAAGTTGTTTTAAGTGTTAAACTTTCCAATTTACATTCCAACTTCCTAAAGGACAGAGATGTTCAATTCATCTTTCTAATACACACAAAGTGGTTTCTGACACATAATCAATTAATAAATACTTGTGGAAAGGTTTAATACACTGATGATAATTTTTTTTTCTGGTATGGGAATTGAACTCAGGACCTTGTGCTTGCCAGGCAGGCACAGTGCCACTGAGCTACATCACGGGCCCTGGTTTTTTTTTTGGTGGTGCTGGTGGGTACCAGAGATTGAACTTGGCTCCTTGTTCTTGCAAGGCAGGCAGTGGAACCACTGAGCTAAATTCCTGCCCTAGTTTGGTTTTTTGAGACCAGGTTTCACTAATAGTCCAGACTGTCCTTCAACTTACTGTGTAGTCCAGGGTGGCATTGAAAATGAGATCCTCTTACTCAGCCTCCTGTGTTCTGGGAATACAGCTGTGTTCCACCATGCACAGCTTCCTCCCTGAAATTTGTCAGATATGTACTACTACTAATCCTATTGTACAGATTAGCAAGATAGGATTTAGAAAGATTAAACTGCATGCTATGAAGTCAAAAGGAGAAAGTGAGTCCAAACACAGACTGTCTGGTCCCACAGCCTACCTGTTATCCCTGTGCTCTGTGTGCCTCTGTCTGCCTGGGCTAGTACTAGGACTTAATGCCACTCCTGCAGCAGCTCACAAAGTAAAATACAATTTGACTTAGCCTGTCCACATACACCAGCATGAAGAAAGGACTTAGTAAAGTTCTTGAACAGGAGAATGGTTCAGTACAAAGACATTTCCAAGAAGGCAAAAGCAACTCTTTTGGATTCACCTGTCTGAATGCAAAAGAATAAATTACAATAGTGATTTTCAAGTTTCTACTAGTTTGTGTAAAAATTACAAATACTCTGTGGTAAAATTAGGGCAGGATTGGGTTGTGAGGGGGTAATGAGATAAAATTTGTTAAAATATTTTGCATGCAAAGATTTTTCAACTAGCTAATTCTATTTCTATGAAAGTTAACTTGGAGAAAAAAATTTGCCCATGTATCTGAGGCACAGTGAAGATTTCTGTAGCACTGCGGTAAAAGTGTATCATTAAAATAGCTTAATAATATGCATTAATAAGAAAATTACTAGCTGTGCATGTTAGTCCCAGCATTCTGGGAGGCTGAGACAGGAGAATTCTAAGTTTGATCGCAGCCTGAGCAACTTAGTGGCTTAGCAAGAGCATCTCAAAATTTAAAAATAAAATAAAATGGCTCGGGATGTATCTAAGTGAAGACCCTGGGTTCAATCCTGTAAGAAAGAACAACAAAATTACTAAACTGTGGTACATCCAAGGAATATAGATATATCCTGTAACAGTATATACACTGACATGGAAAGATCTAAAGAATGTATAATTATTTAAGGAGTATACAATTACATATCCACTTCTATATGCAGATATATATACAGGCACAGAAAATATTAGAAGTATACATATCTCAGAATATTGATTATCTTTGAGAAAGGAGTAGGGCTGAGAAAATATATTTAAAAAATTTTAAATGAAAATATTTTCCATTATCACATATTAGTAAATATTTATTTTGATCTTATAAAAAT